CCGACGGTGTAAAGCCGGCGACCTCAAACTATATAAATATTTTATTTTTAGTGATGTAATAGTTTCTAAATAACATTTTCGCAAAAACAAATGTTTGTAAGTCAATAAAATTTATGTAAATGGAGCACTTTCCAAATATACGGCAGTCGGTAATCGTGGTGAAGCCCTAGACACGTCCTTACGGATTCATCAAATCCAATAACCTTTGCTTTGGACGCCTTCAGCTCTAATGCTAGAAACAGGCTTAGGGACCCCGGTTATCGTACTCGTCGAACTCAGCAAAGAGTTCGACGTGCAACCAAACCCATGCGTCAGCCCGCTGAATTTCTCGCCAGATCTTATCAGTGGGTCGCGATTCCGATCCGATATTCATTCGCGAAGCAGTTGTTCTTGAGTTGTTAGGTGTCCTTTGGAGGCGCTCGGGCAACTATTAGCAAATCCCACCCCTCCTGGCTGAGCCTTTGCTCGCCCACATGTCCTGGTGAAACTGGAAAGGCCTCTGGGCCACCAGTAATCCCTTATAACTACTGGTGGTAGGACCTCTTGAGAGTCCGCGCGGGTAGGTACCACCACCCTGCCTATTTCTGCCGTGAAGCAATAATGCGTTTCGGTTTGAAGGGTGGGGCAGCCGTTGTAACTATACTGAGACCTTAGAACTTATATCTCAAGGTGGGTGGCGCATTGTAGATGTCTATGGGCTCAGGTAACCACTTAACACCAGGTGGGCCGTGAGCTCGTCCGCACATCCAGGCTATAAAAAATCGTGTTGAAAAAAATTTCGATTGTACTAATTGTTTTTATAAGCTTTGTAATACAAACCAGCTGACGCGTGGTGTCAATGGCCTTATGTAAGGCCGTTGCTTAAATATGGCGAAATACTAACTTCCTAAAATGGATTAAATAAGTTTCTACGTTACTTAGTAATGAATTAATACTATTTCTATGTTGAGGTATATAATCGTACGAGCTTAATACTATCGCGATGCAAAACTGTGGTTAATATATTTCCGGAAATTCAGATGCTATGTAATTTTTTTTATGTGTTATCTCACCTGGAAAGCCATTTGAGTCATAAGATTTAAGTTTAAACTGAAACGAATTAGTACTTGGCAGTAAAAACAGGTGGGTTGGTGGTACCTACCGTGAGGGATCAGAAAATGCATTACCACCAAATAATTACGCAATTTTTTGTTGTTGCGGGTATTATTTTTGTTATAAAATGTTATGTTTACCTTCATCGTAAGTCCTTTGTGAACATGTGCTTATTTATTTAGATAAATATGGACTTTTTGGAGTTAAGTTGTGTGATTTGTTTTATTTTGTCTATTTAGTGCTTCTTCGGGTTTACATGTGTAATAATGGTGGTTTATTAACTATTTAATATCTGTGAAAGTGCACAAATGTGGGAAAATGAAACAAAGCCGCTGGACGTAACTTCTCGGGATCCTCCAAAAAGTCCAATGAAAAAATCTTAGTAAATGACCACCATTTTACTGAGATTATATTTCATCCCATATCATCTCAATTCATTTCATTTAATTTCATCCCAGTTGATTAGTGTCTCAAATTAATCATCTTCATTTCATTTCACTCCATAATATCATTTTTCATAAAAATATTAATAATATAAATTAAAATAAGACATGACTTAAAGGTCTCAGTTACCAGGTCATAAAATCTCTTAAACAATTAGAATTTTTTTTTTTAATTTTTTTTATTGCTTAGATGTGTGGACGAGCTCACAGCCCACCTGGTGTTAAGTGGTTACTGGAGCCCATACACATCTATAACGTAAATGCGCCACACACCTTGAGATATAGTTCTAAGGTCTCAGTATAGTCACAACGGCTGCCCCACCCTTCAAACCGAAACGCATTACTGCTTCACGGCAGAAATAGGCGGGGCGGTGGTACCTACCCATGCAGACTCACAAGAGGTCCTACCACCAGTAAATTACTGCTTGCGGGATTTGAACATCGGCACAGTTGCATCGCTCGATACGAGTAGTACACCGTCTTATCGTTTAGGTCACGACGATTTCGGATATCTTATAAAATTCCTATAGAATAGCGTATCAGCAGTAGTAATGGTTGTCGATAGTTGATTTAAAGTTTATCTAAAATTTATCGTATCGCAGTTGGATCGGTATAGAGTGACGTGTCGGCGCCCCACATTAACTTGTCATGTGGAGCTCCAAAATTGATTTTATCTTAACATCTATTAGTGATACGGTGTAGGCACGCTTTGTAAGATTTGCTTAGTAACTCGATACAGGCTCTCGTTTAGTATGTAATAAGCTCTAAATTGTCCAAACGGTTTTTGGTTTGTTTCGTTGCTAAGTAAGCTCGTGTGTGGTCTTCTTAAGTGGTCAGAGCCAATTGTGTCCTACCGGTGGGGGGCTTCTGGACGAACTGCCACCACGCCCATCAGCAATAACGCAAATTTACAAATTATGCTGTGTTTTTTCATTGCTTACATGTGTGGACGAGCTCTCAGCCCACCTGGTGTTAAATGGTTACTGGAGCCCATAGACATCTACAACGTAAATGCTCCACCCACCTTGAGATATAAGTTCTAAGGTCTCAGTATAGTTACCTATTCTCTGTTCTTTGCACTTTGTACTACAGCACGTAATGTAACTCAAACTAAGCAGAAATGGGGTGTAGCGTCTACCGTCTCGTGTGTCTTAGCGTGTCGCCGTGCACTTTAGATTACGCACTCATTAATTTTGAACTGACTAAAACGATAAGTGTTAACGTTTCTTATCAAATGAATCATTATTCTTCGTTTCCGATATTTTATTTGAACACATTTCAAAAAATTCATAACTTCCTTTAAATTTGGCTTTTGCTTTAGTAATTGAGTAGGCAGCGGCTTGGCTCTGCCCCTGGCATTGCTGAAGTCCATGGGCGACGGTAACCACTCACCATCAGGTGGGCCGTATGCTCGTCTGCCTACAAGGGCAATAAAAAAAAAAAATTCATGTGTGTATTCATGTCTATGGGCTCCGGTAACCACTTATCACCAGGTGGGCTGTGAGCTTGTCCACCCATCTAAGCAATAAAAAAAAACAGACTGTTACTTACCTATCTGGATCGGCGTTCCGTAGTGTATCTTAGCCTCCGAAATGAAAACCTCTCAGACATCTTGCCAAACATGGAGCCCAACTTCGCAATGATGAGACTGCACCGCATCATACCAGCCCTGCAAAGATCATCACTAAAATATACATTTCTAATTTATTTTCTACACTTTGTCGCTTCGGGTTTTAGAACTAAGTCGTAATCGTAATATGATGGAATTAACTGTGAATTCAAAGGTTTATATGGAGAAGCCCAATCCAGCGGTTTTGTTCCATTTTAACGGCCGTCTGGTGTAGTGGTAAGTGACATGGTCACTACACAAGGGGGTCGCGGGTCCGAATCCCGCCAAAGGGAAGGTATTTGTATGATAAATATAAATGTCTTTTCCAGGGTATGGATGTATATTAAATATATGTATGTGTATAATAAAAATCTTACATTTATTTCCGTTATCTGGTACCTGTAACACAAGTTCTTTACGAACTTAGCACGGGACCAGTCAACGTGGTGTGATTGTTAGTAAATATTTATTTATTTATTATTATTTATTTATTATTTTTCCGCGTATGGACGTATAAAATTTCAGTCAATCTGAAATTACTGCATGTTTAAAACGGAATAAACGCTAAATTAATAGAAAAATACTTTATTAAACTCTAACCTAAACTCCTCATATTCTCCAAGAAGTCCAAATAAAAAATATTTCTTTTCATATCAACCGCATTCGAATAGAAAAGGATTACATGTCTTCTTTAAAGGCTTTAAAGTAAAAGTATTTGTTCTGAAATAAGATAAGACTTAATTTAGTATTTAAATAAAGCCGAGATAACAGTTCTTGTTCGATTAAAAAAAGTAGTTTGAATAACCCTTGCTCGTAGTAGAATTGTAATCTATACTAATATTATAAAGCTGACGAGTTTGTTTGTTTGAACGCGCTAATCTCAGGAACTACTGGTCCGATTTGATAAATTCTTTCAGTGTTAGGTAGCACGTTTATCGAGGAAGGCTATAGGCTATATAATATTACGCTAAGACCAATGCAAACGGAGCACCAATAAAGAATGTTTCAAAATCGGGGTTTTCCCTTTTGAGAGCTTCCACTGCGTGCGCTACGCCAAAATAATGTATGAGAGAATTGTTCCCCTTTAAAAGATCTACAAAAAAATCCGCGGCAGCACATGTCTATATATTAAGGTTGGCTCACTATAACGTTTTTTATGCCAAACAAATTTGTTCTAAAATAAAGCATTTTTTGTGAAGGTGTTTTCATAAAGATGAAATGAATCCTTATCCAAATAAATACGTTATTCATTACAACATTGATACACCCAAATCATTTCAAGATAAGCTTTGACAATTATAGATTTTTCTGGATTTTTCCAGGATCCCATCATCAGATCTTGAACATTACAGGACCATTCGGGAAGTCTACCCTTTCGAACAAAAAAAAAGAAAAAAGAATTATCAGAATCGGTTCAAGCATTCTCGAGAAATCGGTGAACATACATAGATAAAAAATTATGGTCGAAATGATAACTTCCTCTTTTGTGGTCGGTTAAAAAGCGTGATTTTAGTACCTTAAATAGCTCCTTAATATTCTATTATTCAAAAATATTTTCACTTTCTACGCAAATGAAGAGGCGGGTAAAATTTAGCGTTATGCCAAAGTAACTATTCCACGCGGACGAAGTCGAGGGCAAAAGCTAGTAAATAAATAAAAAATTAAATATTGCATACCATTGACCACGACTACTTTTGTTACGGGAAATCTCTCGTTACCGCTAGGCTTCAGCTTCAGCTCCTATTCGACTTTGTTTACAGAAGTTAAAAAAGAAGCGATTAGTAAGATGCACTTACCGTGTTGAGTTGATTCCTTGAAAACAAATATGGATGCAAGTCGGACAGTCAGCGCGCGTACAACACCGCGCGCGGTCGCGTCTCTACAAATCTAAACGAACTTCAAAGAAAATTTTAAACGAAATAAAACCTTATCTGATATTTAAATGTTATCTTCGTCGAGTTTTCGAACGCGCTCATGTGCTAATGTGACAGTTTATATTTTTCTGCGGTGAAGTTGTGAAGTGTCAAAAAAAGGAGGGAAATATTATTTCTTTTTTTTCTTTTTTTTTTTCAAAATGAACGTCACCGATTTTTATGACGTGATGCCTACTACTACGCCAGCTATGGATTTATTTAATAGGACATCAATCGACATGTTTAATAGCACGGTGTTCAATGAAACAAGTACGGAAGCCCCCGATTTTCGTACGTGGTTAACGGATATCGTAATGAAGGTTTGTTTTTCTTTTTGTGTTGTATAATAATTAAAATTAAAGCGTGAAGTATCAAGAAAACATCGGCGTTTATTTATAACGCAACCTTGAGAACGGAATATTAGTATCGGAGTATCAGTATTAGTAAATAACTTAACCAAAATTAATGGCGAAAAGGCCTATTTTTGAGCCAACGTGAACAACCATCACCCTGTTTTGTTTCTTATGGGTTAACTGAAATTTCGACCTCATGCCTCAAAGTGGTTGAAACACAAAGTCGGTGCAGTGTATAATAAAAAAAGTAAACAACAACTACATAGAATACATAACAAAACAGCCATAAATTATATGTTTAATGTAGGCATAAGCGGCACATACATTTTTGTTTCTTTTGAAAGTATAAATTTCCTCAAAAAAAATTCGTACAAAAAAGGTGTGTAAATAATTTATGTTAACATGCTTCAGTAAAAGACACGTATTTTATTTTTTAAATCTGTCGTAACGTTTTTGACAACACACTTTTATACAACATTCAAAGTAATTATAAAATTAGTTGTAACAATGTTCGAGATTTTCGACATCTTAACTTTTTTTAATTTATTGCTTAGGCGGGTGGACGAGCTCACAGCCCACCTGGTGTTTTGTGGTTACCGGAGCCCATAGACATCTACCACGTAAATGCCGCCACCCACCTTGAGATATGAGTTCTAAGGTCTCAGTATAGTTACAACGGCTCTCCATCTTTCAAACCAAAACACATTAATGCTTCACGGCAGAAATAGCCAGGGAGGTGGTACCTACCCGTGCGGACTCACAAGAGGTCCTATCACCAGCAAATTATAATTTTGCGGGTTTGATTTTTATTACACGATGTTATTCCTTCGCCGTGAAAGTCAATCGTGAACATTTGTTGAGTACGTATTTCATTAGAAAAATTGATACTTGCCATAGGGATTCGAACACAGGTGCATCGCTAAATACGAACGCATCGGCGAAATATGAAAACTTCAGAAAAAAAAATCTTAAATTATGCATAAAGTATCTCTCTTTCTCTATATCTTTATCGTAGACTAGCTGACCCGGCAGACTTCGTAGTGCCTCAATCGATAAATAAAAGACCTAAGCTTTTGTCTATACTTATACTTATATGTACTTATAATATTATAAAGAGGAAAGATTTGTTTGTTTGTTTGTTTCGAATAGGCTCCGAAACTACTGGACCGATTTGAAAAAATCTTTTTCCATTAGAAGCCGACATTGTCCCTGATGAACATAGGCTACTTTTTTTTAATTTTTTTCTATTTAATTTTTTTGGTTTCATGTGTGTTTTAATGTTTCCGAAGCGAAGCGAGGGCGGGTCGCTAGTATAAAATAAACACATATCAAACAAAAGGAATCCGTCCGACGGGGGACACATCAAAGGGAAAACAAAATTGTTATTTTTATTTAATTCCGAGCATTTTAATATTTATCTACCTTTTAAACCTTCTCTGGATTTCCACAAATAATTCCAAGACCAAAATGAGCCAAATCGGTCCAGCCGTTCTCGAGTTTTAGCGAGCACTAACGAACATCAATTCATTTTTATAATATAGAGATTAGGAGAACATGAGTTCATGTAAAATTTATAGTAAAATAACGTGTTTCTATTACTGCAAATGTGAAAATTATCTCAGGCCTAATTGGGATTATGTGTATGTGAGTCGCGCCCGCCACTGCTTCACATCAGTTAGTTGTGTGTCAATGAGTGAGCTGTGTTGATCTTGATTCTATCTTTGTTTGTAACGGAATCTTTGAAGATCATTCTCATCTACTTCAAAACGTTTGATTAGCTTGACGCGAATCAAGAATCGATGGCAGTAGACATAATTTTCTAACTACGCTCTAATATCCTGATCATTATCAATAGGATTAAAGAAACATGGATTAATTGTTAGTTCCGTTTGCTGTTTAAGCGAATGTTTTTTTTGTTTGTTTTTAAAAATCAAACCCCCAAAATAATAATTTGCGTAATTACTGGTGGTAGGACCACTTGTGAGTCCGCGCGGGTAGGTACCACCGCCCTGCCTATTTCTGCCGTGAAGCAGTAATGCGTTTCGGTTTGAAGGGTGGGGCAGCCGTTGTAACTATACTGAGACCTTAGAACTTGTACCTCAAGGTGGGTGGCGCTTCTACGTTGTAGATGTATATGAGCTCCAGTAATCACTTAACACCAGGTGGGCTGTGAGCTCGTCCAACCATCTAAACAATAAATAAAAAAAAAGCTTATATATTCATACACTGTTTCAGAACTATTATCTACTCAGGTCGCGTTATATGAGTGGTTAATAAGATTTCTCAAAAAAAAAAAAACCGTGCGATAAAATTTAAATTTAAAATTAACTTTTACCGTTTAATTCGTATATTTCATTTATATTTAAAACCGTAAAGTATTTGTAACGAATATGTATAAGGAGACGACAAGAACAAAAGCGAGCTTAAACCGTTGAAGGGTTGGGCAACCCTTGTAACTATACTGAGACCTTAGAACTTGTATCTCAAGGTGGGTGGCGCATTTACGTTGTGGATGTCTATGGGCTCCAGTAACCACTTAACACCAGGTGGGCTAAAAGCTCGTCCACCCATCCAAGCAATAAATAAAAAAAAGTATTATTTGTGTTTACTTTTTTTGACTGCCTATTGTCAGTAACCTCGACGGGTTCCTATGCTAGTTTCACCGGACGTCTTATGTTTTCGACTCCCTAAAACCGAATAAGATATGTACTAAGAGTGCTCTGTCAGTATTTTAGCTTTATCAGGGCATCGTTTTTCGGCTTGGATATCGATGTCCAGACAGGACAAGGAACTTTATTTGCTAAATAGTAATTATGTACGTGTTTGTTTGTTTGTACAGTCGTTGTTGGCACTTCGGCGTGGATTTTTAGCATATTAACATGAGCAAGATACGTGACTTGTTAGAGACGTCAAAATGATGTTGCGCTTGGCACGGTCACTAGTCTACGGTGATGAAGATGATCGTGTTGTAACTTTAATGTTTCCGTGTTTTACCCACGTATGGATTGGGCCTTAAATTGACAAACCAAAAAGGTTACGTAGGCAATTAAAAAAAAAAAAACTCCGTAGTGCCAAATTCTAGAACATTTAAATATTAAATTCATAGTTCGAAAACAAAACGATTCCATATTCTTTTTTTTTAGTGAAGGAAAGATTACCGGTGGCCCGAATGCCTTTCCAGTTTCTCCAGGTCATGTGGGCGAGCAAAGGCTCAGCCAGTCATCCACAGTGCGTTTCCAGAGGTCTTTTTTGGGACGTACCATCCGGCTATGGAATGAGCTCCCCTCCACAGTGTTTCCCGAGCGCTATGACATGTCCTTCTTCAAACGAGGCTTGTGGAGAGTATTAAGCGGTAGGCAGCGACTTGGCTCTGCCCCTGACATTGCTGAAGTCCATGGGCGACGTTAACCACTCACCATCAGGTGGGCCGTATGCTAGTATGCCTATACGGCAATAAAAAAAAAGATACAATATAAAAACAGTAGTAGGTATTTAGAAACATGCGTCCTTTAAAACAAAAACAAAAAACATGCTCCGACAAACACTGAATTAAAATAAAAACATACAAATGACCGGAATTAAAAAAAATTATAAGCATTTAGAGACTTGTTTAATTTGTATACGAAGTACCATGTTTTACCGCAGACCATAATTAAATTGCTATTGACATACTTTGAATGCTGTCAGCATTTGCAATTGAGATTTTGTTTTAACGTAAAAGTAAAATGTATAAATAAAGAATGTCTAGAGATGCGAATATTTTAAGCCCTTGAAATAAAAATCAACTTATTTATTGTATACTAGCTGACCCGGCAGACTTCGTAGTGCCTCAATCGAGAAATAAAAGACCTAATATTTTGTATAAAATGAACTTAAAACAAACAAAAGGAATCCGTCCGACGGGGGACACATCAAAGGAAAAACAAAATTGTTATTTTTATTTAATTCCGAGAATTTTCATATTTATCTACATTTTAAACCTTCTCTGGACTTCCACAAATAATTCAAGACCAAAATTAGCCAAATCGGTCCAGTCATTCTCAAGTTTTAGCGAGACTAACGAACAGCAATTCATTTATATACAGGGTGGGCTTGAAAGGCATGCGAATTTCAAAATCACATTACTCGCGACAGGAAAGCGGGAGCGGGGTGCGGGTAGTGGGGATAGGTTCCTTGTTTCTCGGAAATTCAGTTGCCATGGAGCGTTTTACCGGTGAACAGCGTGCTTTTTGTGTGAAAGCGTATTACAAAAATGGCGATTCGGGCACTATTGCGCGGCGTTTATTTCGTTCTAAGTTTAATTTACATGATTTAACCCAATGTCCGAGTGAAAGTGTGATCAGATCGTGGGTCAGAAAGTTTGAGTCTTCGGGTTCGACATTAAATGAAAAACCTGTGGGGCGTCCAAGGTCTATTAGAACGGAGGAGAATGTAAGCGAAGTCGCGGTGTCTGTACGGCGCGATCCCCAGCAATAAATTCTGATCGCTACACAGCAATGTTACGTAACTTTTTCTTTCCACAACTGCATAATTTTGAAGCCTATAACAGCAGGACCTGGTTTCAACAAGATGGCGCGACATCCCATAGTATATCCAATGAGTCTTTGGCAGTTGTTAACGAAATGTTTAATGGAAAACTGATATCGCGTCGAGGGGACATTCCATGGCCTCCCCGGAGCCCAGATTTCACGCCACTGGATTTTTTCTGTGGGGGTATCTCAAGAGTCGCGTTTACGCCAGTAAACCGACGACAATTGCCCAGCTCAAAGACAATATTCGCAAGGAAATGTCCGATATCCCACGAGCGATGTGCCAGCGAGTTTTCACGAATTTGAGGGCTAGATTGGAAGAGTGTGTGCGTGTAGATGGCATACATCTCAGCGATGTTATTTTTTAAAAATAAAATTCCCATTTGTAATCTTTATTATAATTATATTTTTTCTTTCCTGAGCTTTGTAGTTTTTTTT